CCCCACCACTGCTTTCTCTGCCCACCAGCAGATGTTTGTTCTGATGCCACTGTCAGCCCCAGGGGGTCGTGGAATTTTTAAGTAGGATGCAATGCCATCAATTTTTAACAGTTTCTAGAAATAGAGTTGGAAGAAGTTAATGGTTAATGATAAGGAGGGAGCGGGGGAAGGGAGCATACAGGATGGCTAGAATTTAATACCGCTTCTTCCTAATTTCTGGTTAGTGGAGTTTGGGTTGCAAAATGGGGATGGGACCACATAAGGACTTGGCCTCTTATAAATAAGCTGGGCACAGAGAAGCCACACGACCTGGTTTGTCAAAGCACCTGAGGAGCTGTATTGAAAACAGACTGCGGGAAGGCTAGCAGCCACTGGAAGCTTTCAGGGGAGACGCCGGTGCTTCAGCAGGAGGCAGCTGTGGGCAAGTGAGCAGCCAGCGGCGCCCATGAGCCACCTGATGGGTGGGTAGGAGAGCTGCGGGGCCCGTGGGAGGCCGGGGTTCCACTGGCACCACCTCTCACACCCAGCTCCTCGCGGTGCCTCTGCCTCCTCCCCAGCCGGGCCCTGTGAATGCTCATGACCGTAACTGCACCTGTCCTGCCAGGATCAACAGCTAGGGAAATGTTTCTGGTTAGTGCTGGCCTTGGGGAAGCCCGTGTTTGCTTAGCGATCCACAGCCCCGCAGGGAAGATCCTTTAAACTGGCCTTTCCCACACCTCTGGGGCGGGGCGCCCCTTCGCGAGCTTCGCCTCTGCCACCATGCTGCACATGTCAGGGAGGATGGAGGCTGTGACATTTGTCCACCGTGCCAGGGCTGCCCCATCGCCACCACGTGGGCTCCACTTTGGTTATCTGTGCTCCAGGCAAGCAGAGCCCATGCAAGCTCTGTTGTCCCCTCCTTGTTGGGTCACGTTTGACATCAGTGCTGCTCAAGGTGGGGTCCCTGGACCAGCAGCGTCAGCTTCCCCTGCAAACCTGATGGAAATGCAGCTTCATGGGCATCACCCCAGAGCCACTGCATCCGAATCTGACGATCAGAATCTGACGGCAGCCCAAGAACCGGTCTCTATGAGCGCCCCGGGTGACTCTTAGTCTGAAGTTTGGGAAGCGAGGATAGTATCCACCTCAGATTGAACACTGGGGCTCTAGCCCATCTCTGAGAGCAGCTCATCTAGCCCAGGGGGGCAGGCCTGGCTGCACAGGAGGACCACCGGAGGAGCCTCAGTGGGAACAGCAAGGCCAGCGATCTGCTCTGCAGGGCTGGGCGGGATCCAAGGGCTTCTATCGTGCAGCCAGGTCTGAGAACCTCAGGAGTCTGGCAGATGGATCTACATTCTGTTTCCCAGACACAACCGTATTTTCTGCCTCTCACTGTTCCCTTCCTGGAGCAACACCTCCATATTGCCAAATCTATCTGCTCCGGGAATAGACTGAGCGCACACAGCGTCTCCTCAACTGGGCTCAGCCTCTCCCTCGATTTCCTGAAGCACCTTACTTGCACTACTGCTCAGATTCTCCGTTGCCCTTATCACACTAAAACACTGAAACTCTTACACAGCGTTTGGTATAATCCGCGTTTCTGACCCCACATCTCCTGGCGGCCTAGAAAATGGTGGGTGCTTAACACGTTTAACAGGAAGGAGTGCTTTGTGCCACCAAGAGAGAATTCCTGTGTTACGGAAGCCACATGGGTATCTAAAAGGAAGCTGGTAGCCAAGCAAGAGGCTGACATTATTCTCTTTCTAAAATGAGGCCTCATTCAATGAAAGTGTCTCTCAGACTGTGTCCTCTGGAGTATTAGTGTTCTGTCACATACTAACCGCTAGCTCACAGAACAACTCTTTGGTCAAAAAATAAAACCCAAGAAGTCTTACACCACATGCTTAAGTAAGGGGTGTTCTGCATATTACTTTCCAGGTTGTTCTTCCACTCGGGACCACAGCTTCTCAAGTCTTTTATTAACAATTAATCTTTTTTCATGGAGCTGAAAGTCACACCACACAAAAGTAGTCATTTTGAAGCAAATGATTTTGTGGTGTTTAGTGCAGACAGTGTTGCGTGTGCACCACCTCCACCCAGCACCGACGCATTTCATGCCTGGAAAGGTGCCCTTAGCTGTCACCCCTCTTTCAGCGACCCCCAGCCACTAGGTGTGCTCTTCTTACTTTGAATCAGTTTGCTCATCAGGAAATTGGGGACTGTCCTTCATCACGCTGGCTGGGCAAACAAGCAGGTGTGTGCAAATGGTCCAGCACTAAACACACAGGGGCCCTGATAAAGGCCTGACTTTTCACTTCCCCTTCAGCACTGTCTCTCTGGCGTCCTCGATATCACAGTCTCTGGCACTCAAAAGGAGGAGGAAACCTGTACATTCTTTCTTTAGAAAAATGAAAACATAAAAGCCCCCTCTCTTTGAAAGGTGGAAGGAGGGTAACCTATAGCAATGAAATTCGCAAAAATCAGCATTAAATCCCTAGTTTTAGTTTACAACCCTCTTATTTGGGAATTATACAAAGGTAGCAGAGTTCCTGCTTACCCAGAGGACCCAGTTTCCTCACAGTTACCATTTTAACTTTTGTCATGTAATTAAAACGAGCCACTTTTTGTCAAAATTAAGAGATTAACACTGGCATGATCCTATTACAAAACAAGACTATCTGGATGTCAACCCTCTAGCCTTTCCCTGCCCCAGGGTCCACTCCAGGCTCCCATGCTGCCATTGGCCATCACATCTCACCAGAGGACAGATGTCCTCTGTGACACCCCGTCTTTCCTTGTTTTATGACCTTGCAGGTTTGGGAGAACACTGGTCAGTGTTTTGAAAAATGGCCCTCAATGCAGGGTTATCTAAGGTCTGTCTATGACTAGACTGGGGTGTGGTTTTTCATATTCAGGCACTTACCATTAGGGACTCATTAGATTTATCCTCTGGGTTACAATTCAATACCATGTTACTTATTTTGTTGCTCAAATTGTTTCAGGTTGGCTGCAGGGGTCTTCAGATGGGCTCCTGTACTCCGGGAGATGCCCTGTGCTTTTTTTTTCTTTCTAAGATTTATTTATTTATGCTTACAGAACTGGGGTACGGGCCAGAGGTGCAGGAGGAAAGCATTCACCAGAGACAGACTGGGGAGCAGAACAGGCAGATCTACGGAAATACAGTGTTGAGGGGAGCAGTGGGCGGGTCCGGGGAGGTCTGCCACACCATGTGGGTCAGCTCCCTGGTGGGGGATCAAACTCATGCTGCCCTGGCTTTGGAGAACTTCATAATGTGGCGTTTTCACCCATTGTGCCACCAGGGAGAGCCCACCCTGTGCTTTTTGTTTTTGTTTTTAAATTCTACTAGTTTTGATGTACAGTTTCATTTTCTTCTCTATCTAGGCACTGAAATTGCTTTAAGGCCCTTTAGATTGCAATGGTTTGTAGATTTTCAAGTGAAGATTGACTTCTCTGTTCTTAGTTGACCAGACCTTTCTGTGGTAATTAGTGGGATTCATCTCTTTCCTTTAAATTCCGTTTTACTTACTGAAAATTTACCAGGGAATTTTTAAATGTAAAAAGCTTGGGAGAAGAGCACGATGACTCTCCTGTGGCCGTCGCCCAGCTTCAACAGCTTCTTTACTCCATCACGTCCCCACGCTCTACCACTGGAAAGCCTTCAAGGAAATTCCAACGCCATGTGAGCCCAATGCAGAGTTCAGTATCTTTAAGATAAGAACTTTTTGAAAGGTGGATCCACAAAACAACTGTTACAACAAAATGAAGAATTTTTTAATCTCCTCAAACCACATTCCATGTGTCCCGATTATCTTTAATAATTAATTTGTTCAAATTAGCATCAGGCAAAATCCCCTCGTTCCATCTTATAACCCTTCCCTCACCCTCTTGGCCAAGACAGAGGCACAGAGAGGAGACAGGACTTCCCTGGCCATAAGACCAGCAGGCGGACGAGCAGGTCCACTATAAAGAGAGACAGTCCGCTCTTAAAGAGGTCAGAACCTGCTGCAATTACGAGCGCTGGTTGATCTGCGCCTCGGCACATTTATTTTCTCTTTAGGTGTTATGTGTTTAAAATACAAGAGAAATACTGAAGGTTTGAAATTTTAGTCATGCTGCATGTCACCTCAGAAGTTCATTTGGATTTTTGTCTGCAATACCCCAGCACCAATTGCAACTCCACTAATACAATGAGAGCTTAGAAAAATAAGCACCTGGGGCTGAGAGTAACGTGCTCGGCTCCGGGTAGGAGCTGACACGTGGAGCTGAGAGTTCTTGGGGAGAAACACGTCAATACTAAATCTTTTCCCTGACCTTTGATGGATGTGCGAATCTTCTCGGGTCAACATCAGCTCCCGGGCCCACACACCACGACTTCTTTAAAGGGAAGCTGGCTTTTATAAATGGACTGTTCCATCCATTTTTAGGCTTCCATTCTCAGAAATGTGCTTTCTTCCAAACAGGATTTGTGATGGACACTCTAAGAGCTCACTTACGCCTTTTCAACAACAGTCAAGGCAGAGGGCAGTGGGGCAGGAATGACTTCTCCGCTCTCCATTCTCTGTGACATTCAAGCTCTGCTGAGACATCAGATAACCAGAATGTCAGGCAGGATTTCACTCCGTTAGAGGAGGGGTTGGCAGGCTGGAGGCCAACTCTGGCCAATGGCTGTTTTATAAAGTTTTATTAGAGCACAGCTGCACGCGTGTTTACTTACCGTCTGGCTGCTTCTACCCTGCAAGGGCGGAGCTGAGCCGGCGAGATAGCCTGCACAGCTCATGCTCGTCTCTCTGGTGGCTCAGGGGACGCCGCTGCCGGGCCCTGGAGGGAAGCGGTCCTTCTCTGGCTGCAGGCCGGGTCGCTGTCGTGGGGCTGGCGGGGCCCAGGCCGGAGAGGTCAGCTAGTGGCTCAGCTAAGGCATTTGCAGCGTTCAGGTGGGTGAAAGATGGGGAGCATGGAAAAAGGCAAAACCAACCAACCCAAACGAGGCAGTATTTCTGAGCATTTTAATGAACTGAGACTCGACAACCACTGACTGCCCAAGCCGCAGCGAGGGAGCTGTCCCCTCGGCCACAGCGCGCACGCTGCCGACTGACACGGCCACCCTCGCTTGCCAAGGCTGAGTGCCCTTTCCCAGAGAAGAGGCCCAGGACCCGGTGCCCGGGCTTAGAACTTGAGCGGGATGACAGGCCAGTACTTGGGCCGCTTGCGGTCACAGTGCTTGTCGAAGCTCAGCTGCACGGCCGCCTCCATGGCCTGGATCTTGGCTGCGCTGTCCCCGTACAGACGCTTCATCTCAGCCTGGCGCCGCTCTCCTGGCCGCTCAGTTGGGGGCTCCACAGAGCGGCGCTGGCTGTGGTACAGGTCATGATCGGCGTAGACGTAGTCATTCAGGCGCGCCTCGTCCAGCAGCTGCTGCCGCCCTAGGGGGAGGAACACCCAGAGAGGGGCACGGTGAGTGCTGGGGCTTTTGCGGCAGTCCCTGGACCCCCAGCTTGTCTGTTCAGCGGTGGTAGCTGAGGTGCTCAGCACTTCCAGGGCCTGGCCTGCACACCATGCCATCCTAGTGACCACGCTCGGGCATCCTTGGAGGGAGAAGGCAGAAGGCCACAAGGAAACAGGTTATCCCCAACTGTCAAGCCCTGATGATACAGGAGGGGCAGGAAACCACTTGGGCGTCTCTCTGTTTAGCCCCACAGCCCCCCCGCCGGCCTGCCGCCGGGCCCCAGGGATGGCTGGTCCTGCTTGCAAGGTTTGAAGCACGGCCCATGCCGACAGGGAGATGAAACACCAGGTCAGGTGCTACAAGGGTCCTTCCCACCACCAATGAGTAGAGTATGTGGGGGCGAGGGGGTCACCTCAGGGTTATTGGGAAAAGAGTGAGTGCTAGTAGCAGGAATGCAAGCATGACTGAGGAATGTTCCACACAGCCAGAGTACACACCAGGCCAGGCGGGGCAAGGCTAACAGGAGTCAGCCCAAACGGGGAAGAGGGCGTTTGGGTACATGGGATCCAGACTCCGACTGTCCTCTCCCTGCTGTGTTAACACACCCTGTGCTGACATGCTTAGTCTGTGATCTGAGTTTCCAAGTCACTGCGCAGGTTAGCATAGGCTTAATTTCAAGTGATATTTAATTATGTGCTTTTTTTTAAAAAAAAGATTGATTTATTTATGCGTACAGAACTGGGGTACAGGCCAGAGGTGCAGGGGCGGTGAGAGGCTTCACCAGAGTGGGGAGCAGAACAGGCAGATAGATGAAGTACACTACTGAGGGAGCAGCAGGCAAGACAGGAGAGGTCTGCCGCGCCATGTGGGTCACCTCCCTGGCCGGGGATTGACCTTGTGCTGAGGCGGCTGCAGCTGGCTTCACAGAGCTGTGCTTCAACCTGTTGGCACCACCAGGGAGGGTCTTAGTTATATGCTTTGGATGCTACTGATTTAAGTGGATTCTCGTAAGCAAGGAGTTACACCACTGGCCGTCCCTCTTTGATGCTTACTGTGATGTGCTACAATCATCATTGTCATTCTCACGTAAGCAGTAGCCACGCCCAGAATAGCCGCAAAACTACGCTGCATAAGTCCAACATGGCAGCTTCACAGCTTCGCTGAAATGTCTGTGAGAAGCGGAGAAAGGGCTAGGAGAAGCGTCACCTCCACCAGGGCCACTAAGTGAGGCGTGGAGATGCTGCCGGAAAACAATGTTGATCATTCTTGTTAAGAAAAGGAGGGAGCTCAAAGTGTAAGGGAACGCAACGGCGAGCATATCAGATGTGAGTGGAAAAGGTGTTTCTAGGCTGTCAGCCTCTCTCAGGCACCTGAGCAAGCCCTAGAAATAACATCTGTGAGGGGGACGGAAGGAGCTTTATGAACTGGGGAGCTTCATTCCAGATGCACGGGATACTACAATTTAGTCTTCCCTGAGGTGGCAACAGGCGGGTAAGCCAAGGCTGTGAAACAAATTTGGCGCAGCAGAATGGCGACCCTGTCCGTGGGAAAGAGAGTAACTACTGGCCAGGAAATGCAGAACTAAAGCAGGACCTTGGGCAAAACTGCCACCGAATGGGCCATTGACAGACATTCTTCTCCATTTTTGGCCTCACTGCCAAGTGTGAAGCATCAGGAGAGAATGTATTCAGGGTCTGTGGGTGTGGAAACTCTAGGCCTCCGAGGAATACCCTTCAGAAGCTTTGACAAGGCCTCAGCCTGCCAGCCAACAAGATTCGCTCTGCCACCAAAAAGGGCCTCGCTCGTGTCGCCAACCTTGGGCTGTGTCTTGGGCCCGGGAACCATCCGAGGGTGGGGCTGCTGGGTGGTCGGCATCTGGAGGGCTGGGCTCCCAGGCCTCAGGCCTTCCGTGTTCAGATTTGGCTGCAGACTACTGTCAACCTCACCAGCGGAGGCAGCGACACAACAGATGTTCGACTTCCTGCCTAGATCTGAGCTCGGAGGTTGGACTACCTGTGGGGATCGGCCCTATCTCAGGAGGGGTTGCTTTCTGCTATTGGGGTGTATGAATATAACCTTTTTATTGTTGCAGTTTTCTTTTCCTCCTTCTGTAACACAGTTATAAATTCTGTTTCTTTCTGTTAACCTTCTGACAAAAACTGGCTTATAGCTATCAAAAGGGAGCAACAATTACACCCTGTGAGGGGCCTTCTTTTTGGGGTGACATGTGCGGCTGATGCGCGATGCTGTATAAAGCAGGCCCAGCCGGAAAGCTCTGTGGCCTGGGTCCTCTCCCAGTTTCCTCTCAGCACGTGCCTGGATTATCATCGCGGGGCTTAGTTCTCAGTACAGCTCATTTGTGGTAAGAATGAACTAACAGATATAGCCTCTGCCCTCACTCAGCCGCGCCTATCCTCTCCACCTGGGATTCTGCAGGAAAAGGTCAGGCCCAACCTATGTCCCCTCCCTGCTGTGAAAGATGTCTGGGGACCTGCAGAGCACGCAGTGCCTTAACACAGCTCCACAGGTGGGAAGCCCGCCCCTTGCAACTCCCCTGTTCTGGGGAGGGTCGCTGTCATGTTGACTCATTCCAGGAGGACAAAGCAGACATTGCAGGTGCTCAGGAAAGGATGGTCCCCAGAAAATGAGGACAAACGCATTAGTTTTGTTCCAGATGCTGATAAAGAAAGATGATGAGAAGCCAGGGACAGAGAAACAGAGGCCCAAGATGCTGGGCGGGGCCCCCATGGCTGAGAATTTGGGGCAGAGGACCGGGGCCACCCAGACGCTGGGCTCTGGCCTTGTTCCCTCGCATCTGAGTCTGCCCTTGAAGTCAGCTAATTAAAGAGAAGCGTGCTAAGGCTGGGGTCCAAATGTGAAAGTCAGTCAGCTTAAACAGACCCACAGACTGTGCGGGAGGCCATGCCAGCGTGAGGGAACGTCACTGTCACAGACGGAGGGGACCACGCCATCCTCAGGTCAGGGTCTGCTTGCTGTTTCCTAGTTACGCTTCCTCCCAGTGACAGGCTAGGTTCTCAGTCACTGGCAGTTTTTCTTCCTGTCAAAACAAGGTGAGGGCTCAGCCAGCCAGATGGAAACTCAGCTGACTGGAGCAGAGAGGCAGCTGCTGATGCTACAGACAGCTCCCTGCCACAGGCAGGTGAGCATTTGGACTGAGCAGCTGTGGGACTCCGAGCCACCAAGCCACCTTCTCCTGTAGGCCCCACGGCCAAGTGCAACTTGCTTTACTACACAGCAGACTCATTGAGATTTCCGCCTCAAACGATGACGTAGTGGGCTAGTGTGCCTCGCAGCTCACATTTACCTGGCGCCTCAGAACCTGACCCGATTTGCAGGTGTGATTAGGGAGGTCTGAGAGGAGATGGTGTAAGAGGAGGGAGAGCCTAAATCCAGCGAGGGCCCTGATAAGGACCACAGAGATGCAGAGTGGGGGGGGGGGCACGTGGAGACGGAGGCCCAGGACCACAGAGATGCTGTCGAGCGCCAGCCACCACCAGTGGCGAGAGCGGCAAGGACTTGAGCCTGTAAGGAGTGTGGCCTGTCGACGCCTGGATTGTGGCCAACTCACCTGCAGAACTGTGAGAACACACACCAGTGTTTTAAGCCACCCAACTATGGTGACTATTAGCGCAGCAGGAGGCAACTCATCAAGGGTTATCATGCATGTGGGGTTGGAAGCAGAAAGAACGACAGGATCACGTGTGCAAAGGAGAGACCAGTGCAGTGCTGGGCGCAGAGGCTTGCTACTCTTCCTCATCGGTCATTCACACGTGTCGCCAATGTGGGGCTGGGGTCACAGGGGCATGAGACAGCCACAAAAGTGACCTTGACTTCAGGACCCAGATCATCGGCCCGGGCTGAACATGGCGGAGGACAAAGCACTGAGACAAACAAGTGCCACCGAATGTGACTTTCCCTCATTTTTCTAAGCGAGGGCCTCCGCCTGTGCCAGCAAGAATGATGTCAGCACATCTGAAGGAAGCACAGACGTGACAGAGACCCAGGAGCCTCGTGCCTGGCTTGCTGGCCACCCATTGAGGACACAGGTGCTGGCTGGGTGAACGGAGCCCTTCCCCATGGATCCCCCATCCTCACCTGGCACCACAAAGATGACCCCCTAACCGGTGGGCCACTGCTTCAACCTCTCTCACTTTTGAACACCTGACTGGACCAAACACACCGAGGGTGGAGCATGCTCAGTTAGGCTCCTCCTTTCACCCGCCTGTGTGCAGCTAAGGGCACGCTGAGTGCTGGCCTGGGGGCTGCCAGCCCTGGCTTCTCCACAGGGAAGACTTGGGGAGAACCAGACAGCACCAAGCAGACTGAGAGAAGGCTTGCCGTGAAAGCCAGAGCTCATCAGGCCTTCTACTCGGGGTCACGACCCAGTGGGGGCACTGCCCCTCCATGGCAGAGAAACACACCTGGCCTCTGAGAAGAGCATTCTGTTGCAGCAGGTGTCTGAACGGGGAGTGGCGTTTCACCCCACCCGACCCACAGCTCCACGGGGCCTCCTCTTACCAACAAGGTGGCCACCTGCCTTGGCAAGCGCGACAGTGGACAGCACCACGGACAGCTCTCCCAGGGTCCCTTCCATTTGGCCGTTTTCCTCACACCTGGCTTCAGTGCTCTGTGTACGTGCGGCTGTTTGATCTCAACCTTCACTCCTGCAGCCCAGGGGATAAACTGGCTCACGCCCCTGCGAGCAGTGCTTGGTTCAGGGGCGGGGGCTTCTAAACCAGGACTAACACCTGCCACTCAGTTTCCCTCTAAGGATTAGGCATATAAACTTGCGTCTCAACTGGTGGTTGTTTATGATTTAAAAAAGGATACTTTTTGAACAATAAATGCTTTCCCTAGGAAATGGAAAACACAGCTGACCTTTACAGCTCCACTGTCTGCTTTCCCATAAGGACTGTTACCACTGGAGCTTCAGATAATAGAGTTATTTTACTAGGAAATAATGACATATAATCAAAAGCACACTGGCTCTCGCTGCACAAAAAGAATCCTTTATCCTACTTATTTTTTTGTTATCATTGACGCATGTTAAATTAGAGATTATCTGGAGGAGTGGTAATCGCAAACAGGGACGTGTTGTCCAGCTGAAAGGGTTATACCCCAAGAGCACATTAAATTAGACTCAGATGATGAGGTTCTGTAAGCCAGGTCTGTTCTTGCGGAGGTGAACAACACTGCAAAACAGACTCTGTCCAGTTTAGCTGCATTTTGCCTGGTTATTTAGTCATGATTTAGAAAACTATGTGTTCTCAGAATGATTCATGTTGGAAGCTGCATTTGTGCTTACTGAGTAAGAGTGAAGCAAACAGCTGTGGGTGAGTACGCACCCTGCTCAGGCCCTCATCCCCTTTAAGGCCTCTCCCAGCCGTGGCCTCCACCGAAGGTCAGTGAATGTCGCAGGTGAAGGCGGTGGGGTGAGGTGTCGCGGGCACAGGGCCACTCACACCTGCACCCCATCACGCACGGCTGCTCAAAGGGACTCGTGTTCACCCTCTACTCTCCCCAAAGGGCTGGGGGGAAGATAATGCTGCGGAACTGTCACCCCGTCTCGCTGCTGGTGCAGGGCCAGGCCTGGCAGCTTCTGATAGCCCCAAGGCCAGCAGTCAGACCGGACGCTGGCTCACCAGTGCCAGGCCATTCCCCCATCTCCCGGGGTGGGGACGCTTGCGGGGAGACTGCAGGCCAGGAGGGCACTGCAGAGCCCCGGGACGGGGGCTGGGTGTGATGCTGCAGCTACTCATTTTAAAAGCACAGAGAAGCAGGAGCTCAGTGTGCTTCGTGCTGTCACTACTAATGCAAAGTGGGCTTACATCGGGCTTACGTATCCGCCAACGTATTCTGCTGTATGGAGTTACAGCAAGCAAAGAATGTCCTGGAGATAGAAATAAAAGTTGTGCGTAGGGATCCTTTGATGAAATTGTGTTAGTGGCTGAACTTGACAGACACTCAAACTTCAATTTGTCAATGCTTTGGATAATCTAAATCGATTTAAGTTTGAAAGTGCTCCCAGCGCAGAAACCTGCGACTGTTTTTGAAGTCACAGAATCTTTATCCCAATCCTGCAAAATCTCAACGAAGCACCATACGGCAAAGTCACAGTGGGAAGCTGCTTTATGGCTGTGGACGCCGACGCCGAAGGGCGTGACCAGCCAGCACCGCAGCGGACGCGGGTGGGGCGCTCCCCGCAGCTGCTCTGTGACTGCCACCTCGTGCAGGTGCCAAGCAGGACTCCCATTTCACAGATGAGGCGACTGAGGCACAGCCTGCTCAGGGCGGGCAGCCCCACCAGAGGATAAGAACCTCCAGGGATGAGGCTGGAGCCCCAGAGTCCGAGCAGTGCCGCTGCAGCTGCCGCCAAGTGTTGCTCACAACCATGGGGGGGGGTCCTGGGGGGGGGTGTCAGGGTTTCTGACATTCTTTTTTATGGGTCTGCTGTCCAGATCGCGGCGAACAAATCCATGCCGTGTTTTCTTCAGCGCTGGCAAGGCCTGCTGGGTGGGCCTGAGGCCCCACTCACACTGCATCTGGAGTGAGGGAAGCTCTCCCAGGGAGGCCGTGTGACTCTGCCAGGGCTGCTTTATAAGGCACCACAGTTCAGTGGCTGACAACAACGGAAGCTTATTGTCTCAGTTCTGGGGGCCAGAAGTCAGAGATCAGGATGTTGGCAGGGCCGAGCCCTTCTTGAAGGAGTTAGGGAAGGTATGTTCCAGGCCTCCCTGCCAGCGCCCAGCAGCCTGACCCAGATCTTCGCGCGGCGCCCTCCTTGCATGCGCACTGGGGCAGGGCCCCCCTCGACCTTGCTCTACTTTGAGTCTTTGGCTCTATCTGCAAACAGCATCGTGTCCTCAGGGGGGCGGGCGTGGGGGCGGGGCCGAGGACTCCCACCTCATCATGTAGGGGACACCATGCAACCCATAACAGTGATGACAGCAGTGCAGTCTAGAGCCTTGAAGAAAATGAGGGAGACTGAGGAATCACACCCAACAAAATACGAGGTTCATCAGGTTCTTAAACCACGCAAAGCCCCACTGACATCAGATGTCTCACCTGAGACTCAAGTTCATAATCAATATTGAAATGCTTCATTCATTCAAGTAGCATGAAGCGCCAGGCACCACTTAGCAGAGGGTTTTCATGACTGTTTTTTCGCCTGCGGGGAATTCTACCTGAGCGGGCAAGGGGAGGAAGAAAGCTCTGCTTCACCCCCACGGCTCACCCAGTTTTCTTCTACTGGGAGCCCGCTGCTCGTTACTTTATTTTTATTTATTCTATCTTTGTAGAGAAAGGCTGTGTCAGGCTTATTGTAAACGAGCAGCTAATTCAAATGGCCTTTGCGATGAGTGTGCTTGTTCTCATCCTCAGTTACAACTTCTATCACAAAGCACCCAGCGCCATGACGGCAGGAGAACCTGTTCTACCTTCTGCTAAGGACCAGAAGTAAACAAGCCCCACCCCCATCATTTTTCCTTCTCAGAAGCTGTAATAAGCAGCGTGCCCACCGCAGTGCCCACCCTCCGTGCGCCCTCTGCCTGACTCGTTCCAGACTCGGATTCTCAGCGTCAAGGTTGCTTTGGATAGAATCTGACAAAACGTAAAATTTCTTTCTGGAGATCAAGGGAAAAAAATGTAGGCTACGTGTGACAGCAAACATTGTGTTAATGATATTGGGATGATTTTCTAGCATGCACCCGAAACTTAACAGCTAATTAAAGGAAGGGAAGTTAAAAAAAACAAAACCAAATGGGAAGTGCAGTGAAGAATCACAGGCAGAGGTACAAAGGGCGCGGAGCATTGCTTGAAGCCCTGCACATTCCAGGCACCCACGGGGGGCTCAGGAGATACTAGCTCACCACTAGGGAAATACGGATCATTCAAGATGGAAATGCGACTTGCCCATTCCCAGGCTCCCAGGGTTCCGTTTATGGGAACATTCTTGGTAAAATACGATACAACTAGGCCTCAAAAAATACCGACAGTGGAAAGGTTATTGTATATTTGTTAGAGATACTTAAAATGCGAACAGCCTGGTAAGTTGTAAGGGCAGGGAGAGCCCCGAGAGCAGCTAAGTCTTGGCAGCAAGTAGGCAAGAGACTGAGAGAAAAAGGGCCGATTCCCGCTTTCCCGTCCATGGACGACAGAAGGCCACTGCCAACCACGCTTCCCCACACCAGGGACGGGCAGCCTGAAAGCGAGGTCGGGCTGGCAGGCCGGACTCAGTGCTGCGCCCGCGCGCCTGCGTGGGCGCGCACAGCCCTGCTCGGAAAGGCGCTGTGTTCAGGGCGAGCAGCTGTGCAGACGGGCTCGGCTGCTCCTGTGCGGAGTGTGGAGCTGGCGGCAGCACTGAGGGGTCTAGCGTCTCAGCCACCAAAGGTGAGCGTGCGCGGGGGGCTGCAGGAACCAGAGTCAGGCCGGAGCCCAGCTGCACATCACTAGTTGCCTGCCCAAGCGCGTCAGCGAACCTGAAGGCGCATCTTCTCTCTCTGAGACATGGGCTGTGGGGTGAACGGGGAGCGCAGGAAGGCCTGCGCGTGCGCACACTCCCCACCTGGTAGGGGGCAGCGTTCACTAGGTGGTAGAGGTACGCTCAGATCAGCTTTGTTCTAGCACAGAGCCCAAACTTTGGAACGCAAACACCTGTGGACACGAATATCATCGCAGTTAAACCCAAGCTTTTCTAGGCTTACGATCGGACTGGGAATCTCATCGGGACCCAGTCGAGGCCCTGTGAAGTAACTCTCCTCTAGCTCAGGGCAGACAGAAATGCCCGGGCAGGGCCAGGGGTCTCACGCCCACGCCAGGTACTCACGCCGCTCTTCCCGGTGCCTCTCGGTCTCTGCAAAGTACTCGCGGAGCTCGTCGGTGATCTCCATGTTGCTCACGTCGCACTCCACCCCTTCTGACTCAGACTCTGCCTCCTCCTCTGCACACAGAGCTTGGTCTTCTCTGGAAAGTGCGTGGCTGTCGCAGGCATCTGCGGTGGCCAGCTGGTGGGTGCAGAAGGGCCCAGGAGAGCCGCCCTGGCCGGCCTGCGCGCCGCGGGGGTGGGCTTCAGAAAGGTAGTATTGCAGGGAACTGAAGTAAGCCCCCACGGCCTTCCGGTAGGCGTTCTGGTGGCAGCGCATCCACGCCATGGCCTGATGGTAATGCTGCCAGTACCTGGCGTACACCGGGTGGGAAGACCAAAGCTCCGGGGTGTCTGACGAGGCCGCCTGCAAAATGGAGGGGGCGTGCAGGCTAGCCACCGCAGAGTTCACCTGCAAGAGAAATCCTCCAAGGTTGAAGCAACCGTCTGCCATGTCATCGCCACACAGACTAAGTCTGGATGCCACTTTAAGAGGCTAATGGGCCCGAGAGGCTTGAACACAGGTCCATGGTTGCCAAATTCAGACTTGGGAGGGCAGAGTCGCCGTGCATGAGGGACAGACACGGCGATTAGCTTAAGGTGACAGTCTGTCCTGAGGCGGGACACAGGCGATGCGGGAAGAGATAAGGACTCTACATCTATCACCTTGGCCTTCTCCACTCTCTGATTAAACCAGTTCCAAGTGAGAACCGGCCCGCCACGCCACACGGGCCAGGGCTGTTTCTTCCCTCCCGCCTGGGGCCCCCAGGCCTGTATTAGGAGATTCCCTACAGCACCCACTGAATGGCGCTTTGACTTTTAGTTTCAGATGTATTTCTCTGGTCTTCTCCACCATGGAATGAGAACACCAAGGCCAAGATTTACCTTTTTCTCTCACAAGCTCAAAAGAAAAAGCTTACCTTTGCCGCCATCTCTGACTGCGAAGGATGAAATGGGCTCAGGAGCTAGGAGAAAACAACCACAGGGCAACATCTGATCAGTGTGGGTGACATTCGTGCTGTTTCGTGGTTGCAAGGCAGTTCCTGGAGGCTGCCTCTTGTGAGGACTATCGCCAGGTACTGCACGGTACGGGTGCAGGAAGCCTGCGCCTGGTGGTGACCTCGTGGCCTGAAAAGGAGGGACCCCCTTAGCTATGGTAAAGTGGCGCAAAAGACAGTGTTTCAAGTCCGTTTCCTATTGCATGTCTAGTCCATGAAAATAACCCTAAGTTTGTAATCAGTGCACCCATAAACACATATACAGAACACGGCTGAAACATGTACAGCTATGGCTTCCTGATTCTTATCTCATGCCAGTGCCAATCTAAGTGAACCCTGGCTTTTCCCAAGGCTTGAATGGGATGGACTGCATCTTGCCACCTCACCGGGAACCTTGCCGTAGGATGGGGACTAGGAGCACCTCAGCAAGACTTCTCTGAGCCCCGGCTGTGTCCAGGGCTTGAAGTCCCTCAAGGGCCTTGTTTGGGTTTGGATTGCTCAAGCGGCTCAGCCAGCGTGACCCCACGCCTGCAGGTCGGCTCAGCCAGTGCAACCCCATGCCTGCAGGACTCCGCAGGTCTCCACAGGAGACTTCCCTCCAGCCCAAGAGCCTCACCTGCTCCACTCACTCCCCCACCTGCCTACCTGGGATTTACGGACAGGGCAGGAAATGCCTAACTGGCAAGCTTCAGCTGCAGCTGTACCTTTTATGACATATTGAAAAAACCTAACTTCCCCCCACAGTTCAGGGTGTTCAGAGCTACTAAAATACCAGTTAACACCAGGATGTACTTTGAAAAAAAGTTGAATAAAATATTTTGAAATGCATGAGAATTTAGGTATCTGTGAGATGAAACCAATAATACAACGTGATACTAAGCCAACAGCTACTTAGGTTTTGCAACTTTGGAAATCAGATACTGAAGGAGTACTTTTTCCTTCTTCCCTTAATTATAGGGTAGACTTTTTAAAGGTCCCTAAGTCTTAAGAAATAAACTTGACTTATTTTGTAATCTCTATCAGATGTTTTGCTATCGTTAATGTTGAAAATCGAGATGTTCAACTGCCTACTTCTTTAAAGATTGAGCCTAAAGAGAACCATTCACATTCTTTTAAAATAGAGGAAGCTCTCAAATAGGGCATTTTCAAGCGGGCTGACACGACCTTCTGCACATTTATCTGACACAGCCCACACTTCCTGTTGAGTGTCCTACATTCATTACATACACATGCAGTAATGCAAACTGGAAAAAAACTAACACATGCAGTACAAATATGAAGGTAAACTCTGCTCACATTATTTAAAAACTATAATGGAAAGGTTTAAGACATGAGCAATTATCTGAAAACCTGGTTGCTTGTGGCTACTGCTGAAAGAGGAGAGTCAAGACAATCAGCTAAGCACCCAGACAAGCTACCGCAAAGCTGAAATCAGTGCAGACTTGAATGCCACCCAAAGGCGCAGGCTCTTAGTGGGCGGCTCCCCCCGGCCAGGTCTCCCATTTCTGTCACCGAAATCTGAAGAGCTTCCTGCGAGCCGGCAGCACATGATGACGCTGAAGTGCACACCACGTGGGTCTAAATCAAATTTGCTTTACAGATTAACAAGAACCATGGGAATTAAACTAGAAAAGCCTAGGAGACATCTGTGTGTCTTCTGGAAATTGAGAGTTTTGAACCCAGACTTCTATGCTTTATAAATATCATACGAACAGAAGCAACATAAATAACAATTTCCCCAGCTGGGAAGTCTTGACAGTCTCGGATCTGCAATACACACAACTGTGAAGGAACACTGCCATGGAGCTTGAGAAATTCTGTTTTTACATGTAATTGGGAAATCTAGCCTGGCTTTAAAGGAGCTAATATTTTGAAAATCCACAAGATGGCTTCCGAGAGGTTCCCCTTTGCACAAGTTTCGGCATACGCGATAAGGCTGTCAGCTGTTCAATACAATCCACCATGCTCTTCCCATTCAAATGTCAATAGCTTTGATTAAAAAGGGGGAGGAGAGGCTCATTTGAGGAAAGGTTATTTATGTCATTAACTCAACAGATAATTTGGAAAAATGTAATAGAGGCATCTCCACAAGAAGGGGAGGTTCCATGTTCCCTACCCGACAAAATGAGGGCACAGAGGAAAGGCCATGTGGGGATGCTGATAGTGGCAGCCATTATCTTGATTTGTATTTTTGCATGTCTCTTTCTGTCCCACCCCAGCCAGTCCCTTTCACCCCCTTCTTGTGGTTTCCTGTCAGGTGCCTTAAACTTGTAGCAACCTTTCAGGCCTCTGCAGCCCTGCTCTGGGCCAACCCTGCTTGGCTGGGCATTTACCCACAAGGGGATGAGTAACTTGGGGTGTTTTATTGGAAACTATTACCTTTCTTCTTTCTCGATGCGCACTAATAATTTTATTAAGGTTCTTTTTTTGCCACGAATTCCTTAGTTGTTGTGTGCAAGGATGGCTGGACCCCTGTAGACCATCCAAGCCTGGGGGTTCTGGTGCCCCATGGTCTGCCCACTAACAGAAGGACTGCCATGTTCTGTGGCTGCCGTGACCCTGTGGCATGCTCTGAGCACTTTTGCAAGAGAGAAGCTGTGATGACAGAAGAAAGTCAATGCCAGCACTGGGTCAGAAGCCCTTCGGCTTCGGTCTGGTGTGCCAGCGACCTGTACAGCCCATCAAGTAACCAGCTCAAGTGCCAGACCCTCCTGAGATCCAGGCCATCAAGGCAAGAGAAGCTCATGTTAGTGACAGCACATAGGCAACGCGGTCGTGGACTTTATTCTGGTCTGGCTGTGCTTTCTGCACTGCTTTAGCCACCCGCCCTCATCAAATGCGCTGCCATCGTCTACCAGGTCTGGAGCTCCGAGGCTGTATATCGAAAATACTCGCTTCACTGGTGGTTTTATTTTTCCTCCTGCAATTCTAAAACCTATTCATCATCTCCTCTCACTGTTTAGCATTTTTAAGAATCCCAGTATTTTTCAGTATCCCGATACTCAAAAATAGTTCCTTAGGATGATGACAAAGGAGCCCATGAATTTCCCAAAACTCAAACAGGGTAAGATATATAAAAGTGTCAGAAGGAGCAGCAGCTGGCACGGGGCTCTATAATTATTATTAGCTTGCCACTTCTACTATTACTCTTGGTATTTAATGTTAGCAATATTTTCAGCAAAGGGCAAGAGAGGAAATATGATAGGCTGGAGGGTCAGAGAGCCCTGCCACAGTGTCAGCTTCTTTTAGTTAAGAAAATCCCAACCTTTAAAAAATGCAAACACATCCTTGGCTCCCGGGCTGCAGAAAAGCCAAGCCACAGCCACCACTGCCCAAAGCCACTTTACACTGACTGACACAGCAGGCCTCGGCGAACACTCCGTCGGCCCCTGCAGACTGTGACTGTAAGTGGAAACATGCTGGCCAGTGTGGGCTGGGACTGACTGCCCCTCCTCAAGGTAACGGAGGGATGTGGAGAGGTGATTCAAGGGCCTGCTTCTACTGGGAAGCTCACAGCACTGGTATGAACTGCCCTCAGGATGCTGAGGGCCTCACATGGTCCTCACCTTGACCTGGGGCTCAGTGGAGCAACGTGGTGAGTCCCACCCATGTCATAAATCATCAGGCTCAGAATAAGGCCAGAGGAAGCAAGAAGACTGGTTATTACCAACGGCAATCCTGGTGAACATTTCCTAATGTTTCGGAACGAAGACTCAGCTCCAAGCCTAAGTAAGCAAATCAGACCATTTCTTCAAAATCTGTGTAGACCGTTGGGCACCGAACTGCACACAAACAAGTGAGCTCCTACAGAACAGGGTGGACAGACAGCCCTGGGGGCTCTCGGAGGGCCTGGGCTCTGAGTGAGGCCCACAGGCCGCCCTGGGCCAGGCCACCATCTCCACAAACAGTGGGTGCGCCATGGCCCCAAGAAGGGTGCCAGCCCTGCCCTGAGAACCGTACCACTCAGCAGCAGGGGAGGGGCCTCTTCTAACAATGGGTCCTGTCAGCTTCTCTCAGTCGGTGCCTCTTTCTACACGCAGAGCTTGAAGACCTAGGAAAAAGGTCAGGGCTTTTGAAAAGCCAACATTGAAGTAATTCTAGACCTGACGGCGACATTTTCAGACACCACCACCAACTCAATGAAAAGCCAGCTCAGAGTCACAGCCGACTTAGATGCCCTTTCAATAGGCCTTCACTTTCTCTTTCGTGTCCACCTCCCCGGAAGGACTCCTACTCCTTTATGGCCACTCTTTGTGGCCCGAACAGCCACTTTCTCCCAGTGGGCTGGTGGAGCCGAAAGAAAAGAGATTGGCAATGTCAGGGCAGGCCGGGACCACAGCGCTACCAAGAAAGCGGCCTCTCTGGCGAGCACAATAGCATAATAGTTGCTACCCAGCTGAGCTGGGGCGACAGACACCGGGCCCATTGTATGTCCTCGACCACCAGAGAAGGAAGGAGAAAAACAGCGCTGATGTCATTCCCTAAACTCTGCCCAGGCCCACAGGCAAAGGGCCTTGCCGCGAGCCTGCAGCACCACGCTCCTACGAAAAGGCGCGCCCTCCTCAGGGAACCTGTTCATCTCAGAAGACACATTTTTAAGTGCATAGCGACACTGGAAGAACAACGGGCAAGAGTTTTGTCATTTCCAATGAATAAAATGTGCCCATTTTCATGCAGCTACTGAGAAACTAGTGACGTCGTGTATGCTTTCTACTGCCCACTCCTAGTCTCCTAGGTATGGGCTCTATAAGTGTTATAGCAACCAGAAAAATAAAGGAAAAACAACTCCCTCAAAATCATGGAGGCAGTGTAGCTGGATTTCCCCAGCCTCCTTTCCCAGTAGGATTCTGAAAATGAAACACGGAAACCCTGTTAGTGGGCAGGCCATGGGGTACCAGAACCCCCAGATCGGTTGATTTCTGCACGGAAATGCAAGAAACACTGACTAAGTTCCGGGCGGGAGCCCAGAAAGCAGGACCGTGCTCATCAGGCTTCCTCTGACCTGGCTCTCTGAGCCAACCAGCTAATCTGGGACGTGAAAGAGGCCTTCGGTAGGAACAGCTAGAGAAGGCAGCAAGCGAAATGCTGGCTGGCGAGAAGCTAGAAGGCATTAATGGAGGCGTGGCCCTGCGCCCTATCACAGAACAAGCCCCGAGTAATGCAAGCGTAGGACTTCCACCACGAAGATGAATGATGACAGGCCTGGGCGAGTGTGGCTCCCTGCTCCCATCCCAGCTGCGTACCGAGGCTGGCTAAGTCACCCGTCCTCGCCGCTCTGCCTGTGGGCCGGCCTGGTCCCTTCGGGACTAGACACCAAAGAGGGCTCAAGTCCGGCTGACCCTCTGCTGCCCTCAGCTGTCCCAGTACCGCCTTTTGTGCAGACTCAGGTTTCCCACTAGCCCATGCTGCTGCGTCAGAAAGCCCACGCCCTCACCGGTGACAGCCACCCTTAAAACTCAGGTCCCACAAGGGAGGCAAAACAGTTTTATTCCCATTTTCATTCCCTGAAGCCCAATTTCCAATTTACTCATTTCTGGATGTTGCAATACTGCGCAATATCACGGGAAGGCTTAGTAGGGGGCAGGCAAAACTAAAGGATGCAGTTAATAATTCCCTTTATTTTATTTTATTTAATTAATGTATTTATTTATTCATACAGAAGTGGGGTGTAGGCCAGAGATGCGGAGGGTGAGAGAATTCACCAGGGACAGAGCGGGGAGCAGAACAGGCAGATCGACGAAGTCCACTGCTGAGGGGAGCAGTGGGAGGGTCAGGAGAGGTCTGCTGCGCCATGTGGATCTCCTCCGGGGCTGGCGGGAATCGAACTCATGCGGAAGTGGCTTAAGCTTCTTAGTGCTGTGCTTTAACCCGCTGCGCCACCAGGGAGGGCCCACTATTCCCTTTTAAACACAAATGACATTCTACCCACAAAGTGGCATTGTTTAATTTGTCAGCAAGGGTGATGGATTTATGAATGGGTTTATTTGCAAATGCACCAACTCTCCATGTGACTAATGTCAGCATCAGAAGGGGAATATGAGATACTCCAGAGCAAAGTTACCCTCAGATTCGTGAATCCAACAGGGAATGGCCTAGCTGAAAACTGAGGTAACTGAGAAGGACACAATAATACAGTTGAAGAGAAGAAACAGAATATGTTCACTTCACTGCAAATGCATCCTTCATACAGCAAACCTAGTGTGATTATAAGGGTTGGGCAGGCATGGAAAGCAAATTAAGAGATTATCAGGGCCCTCCCTAGTGGCACAACGCGTTAGGACGCAGCACTGCAAGCTGGCTGCAGTCACTTCAGTACTAGTTCGATCCCCAGCCCAGGAGCTGACTCACAGGGCACAGCAGACCTGTCCTGTCTCCCCGCTGCTCCCCTCAGCAGTGTACTTCATCAATCGGCCTGTTCTGCTCCCCACTCTGTCTCTGGTGAATCCTCTCACTGCCCCTGAGCCTCTGGCCAGCACCCCAATCTGTATGCTTAAATAAATTAAAAAAAAAATCTTTAAAAGGAGTATGTCAGCAAAAAACACGACCAGTTTAAAGTGATTAAGATCACTAGTAGATTTCAGTTCCATAAACACATAAATGGTAATTCCATGTTAGTCTCCTTCCTGAATTTAAACAGCACTCACTAGGCCTCAGTTACTTGTAGGCGTGGGTTTCCCAGTCTATCTTCTTTCAATTTCCTGTTTTCCCTCCTGCCTAACAACCGTGGCTAGTTATCTCCTGCGTTGGGATACTATCGAGAGGATCCATCCTACTCTTGCCCTCCTGAAAACCCGGGTAGCATTAATATCTGACTATATAGCTCCAGATCTTTCCAGGAATTGGATGTTTAATATATCTATAAGTTTTCGGATATTTCCAATTCCTCTGACCTTTAATCAATTAAGAATCGTGTTCTTTTTCTCACCCATTCACTTTTGTCTTCTGGCTGGACTTTCTACCAGAGAAAAGGAATTCTAAAGGTTCTGCACCTAATTTGTGATCTCCCCTAACCTCTAAGTGTTCAAATGTTCTTCATCCTTCTCATCTAGCCCTCTTTTAGCTGTTGGGTCCTCAAGACCAAAGAATCCTTCACCGTCTATAAAACCAAAAAAATTCTCTCTGGAGCTTTAGTTTGTAAATGAACACAACGTTGAGCCCCTTAATGTGAACCTGCCTTCAGTTATGTCTCTCCAGAGTCACTAACACAAGTTTCTGTTCCACTGCCATCCCAGTGGGGCAATGTCACTCTAACAACCTACTGTATTCTCAAAGGTAGTCTCCTCCTACTTCCCATCCACGGGAACTCGGAGAGGAAGTATCAGTCATTACTGTTAAGCTTTATTCTAGACTTTGAAGTAAGGTTGCTTGACCTAAGGTGCAAACAGCTGACTGGAACCTAGCCTGGGGAACTCTAGAAGTCATTCCTGAAAAAAAAAAAAGTTCCGACTCATCTGATCTGGACCTTCAGGATTTCAGAGTGAATGGCATTTTGTGGGCCACTAATTCAATGCCACTTCATCACTGAGAGAGCAAAGTGGGTAGGGACATTATCCATGTCCACAGGTAAGGTGTATCAAAGGCCATAGGTGTCAAATGCTCTCCAGGTAACTTCTAGCCAGACCTCTGCCCTCCCAGAGGCCAGAGTGCCAGGGTAAAGAGGAGAATCGACAAGAATCCCAACTTTTGAGTAGACGGGTCAGTCTCCTAGACATTCCTTCGCGATGAGGTGCCCGCTGCCATCTTCAGTTTAGACACTGGGCTGGGAAGGGCAAAGTCCCAATTCACCCACCAGATGGAGCTCGGCACAGGGTTAGGAGCACCTCAGAATCACAGGGGAGCATTAATAAAAACACTGAAGGCCGGGGCCCCACTTCTAGAGACTCGAATTTAACTGGCCTGGGGTGGGGGCCCGGGCATCAGAGTTCTTAAAAGGCACCCGGTGAAAGGCTCTAGGACCAATCCCCCCGACAATTCACCAGAAATGAGTGAGTTCTCTGCAGCGCCGCGAGGCCCCTAACTTCTTCCCGTGGACTACACGTGCAGCCAAGCCTCAGCCCTCCTGGCCGCACAAGCGGCTATGCTCCGGGGCTCCAGGCGCCTCCCTCACTCCCCCCCAGGAGCCCAGCTGTCCCCCGAATCACCTCGTGGGCGCGCGGCTGTCAGATTCGGGCGGTGGGCGAGCCGGGGCCTATTTCCCGCGGGGAGACACAGGGGGCGTCCGGGGGGCGCTGCTGTTGCCAGGACGACCAGAAGGGTGCTTCCGGGGCGGGCCACGGGGCGGGCCGGCGCACCGGAAGTCCTCGCGCGCCGCTGTGACGCCACGCCACGCAGGGCGAGGTGAGGCGCGAGTCAGGCTCCGCCTCCCAGGGCGGGGCGAGGGAAATGACGGGGCGGGCTGCGGCCAGTGCGCCGGCGCGTGGGCGGGGCCGGAGCGCCTGGCTCGTTTCTGCTGGGCGCGTCGGGTGAGCGGGTCCTGCCCGTCTCTTTCCGCCCTTCCTCGGACTCCCATCTGCCTGCCCCACTGGCACGGGTCATCAGCAGCAATATCTGCCCTGTTAGCACCGCACTGCCCGGAAAGGGGGGCTCACTTCTGTCGTAGAATTTTTACTTCAAAGAAAACTAGACGTACACCTGATGCTTGTGGCAGAATTAGTTTAAACACGGAAAATCGGAAAGAAACGCCCCATGAGGAAAGGGCTGTCAATGAAGCTGTCAGTGGCATGTCGTGTTATTCCTGTCACTCAGAAGAATCAGATCGCGTAGACTATGACTTTGACTGTGCTGGACGCCTGCCGTGTGCCGAACATGCTGTAGGCGCGGTCCCGGGCGGCCCCTAGCCACCTAGCCACACCCGGCTGCCGGCACCTTGAAATGGGCGAGTTTGAATTGAGATGTACTGTCGGTGTCAGTTACACGGTGGGTTTTGAAGAACTCGTATGAGAAAAAGAATGCAAAGTATCTCATTTTCAATCAAGGTGACAGGCTGGAAAGGACTATTTAGGTTCAATAAAACAAATCTAAAATTAATTTCACCTTTATCTTTTTATTCTACCAAAGCAGCTACCAGAATTTAAAAATCCTGTGTGGCATGTGTTATATATACATTTATATATGTCCATTGGACAGCGGCATCCTGTTTTCATAGGCTAGATGATGGTGAACAAGATAGTTTTTGGCTTCATAAAATGAATACTGTTGAGGACAGCATCCACGATCGACAGATAAGTAATATAAGTATACACTGTTGTCAGCTATGTGGAGAAAATATAGGCGGGTAAGGGCCAGAGACGGTGTATATATTTCAGATAAGAGTCTTCCTCCACTGTTCTTGAAATGAATTTGGGAAGAGACAAGACTTCTGTGCACAGGAGGAGGGGTGGGGCGGAAGGGAGAGTGTAGCGCCTGCTGGGAAAAGCTGGGCATGGATGCAGGCCGAGCAATATGCTGGGGTTTGGCGGAGTCTCTGCCTCAGGGAAGAAATTGCGCTGGTGGAGGAAGGAAAGAGAAGAGAGTAAGTTGCCTGGGAGAAAGCTTAGGGGCCCCAGAACAAAGCAGGCCTGGAGTGGGGATGTTTCAGGGAGACCAGCTGTCACTTACTGAAGTTGTCCGAGTATGTGTGCTGCGGTACTCTGTGCATGTGTGTGCATGCGTGCAGTGACTATGCGGCGGTGTCGGACAGTCTGCAACTGCTATCATGGAGACGTGGTAGTAGAGTGGCTCGAACCATTGACAAGTGTATTTCTCTCTGTCCAGGATGGTAAGGTGTATCCAGCACTCATCTTGGAACACCTTGGCTTAGTGCCTTGGCCCATGTGGTCCAAAATGGCACCCCACTGCCCCTTCCCTCCAGCCAGGGGGAAAGGGGCCAGGGGACCAGGCCGTGCCCCTCCCAGCCCTCGCTTGGGGCCAGTGTAGCATTGTAGAGCATCCCTGGCCTCTGCCCACCAGAGGCCCATGGCCTGATGAGGACCACCCCTTTAAGGGCTCTGCTTAGAAGCTACCCACCATGCCTCTGCTGAGGGTCCACTAATGGCCAGAAAGTCATCACTGCATCACGCTAGGGGTAAAGTTGGCTTGCAGCTGTGTACTGGCCAAGGGCCTTGCTAAGTGTGAGCCCGAGAAGGCAGCAAGAAACAGTGTCCTTAATGCCACAGGGGCAGGAAACTCCAGGTGTTCTAGGATGTGGCCTGATCTTTTTAGCTTCCAGGATGTTGTAGTCATCCATTTTAACTAACTTGCATATTGGTGACGGGGTACACAAAGCTCCCAGGAAGTGGCAATCCCAATTAGAGAAGAACTAGCTCACCCTGCTGCTCCAGAGGCCTGGTGACCGGCTGGAGGAGGGTGGATTTTCACTTGTGTTTTGGTGTCATCTAGTGGACACATATAAGTCTTACATTCTTTATCCTCTTGTAAGTTTTAGGCATTCATCCCAAGTGATAAAGAGCCCTGACTGCATTTTAGCAAAACTTTACAGGCTTCTTTCAGACGAGGAGCTCTCTAAAGCAAGGTGTCTCACCCTCGGCCCTACTGTCATGTGGTGCCAGCTCATCCTTCTTTGTAGGGCTGCCTGGCACACAGGGTGGCTTCCAGCATCCATGCTTGCCCACAGCGTCCAGCAGCCCTTGCCCCTACCCTCTCCATTTGTGATAACGAGAAATCTCTCCAGTCCCCAAGGGGAATC